TACTACTACTACTACTACTACTACTACTACTACTACTACTACTACTACGACTACTACTACTATAGTAGTACATATACTAGCATATATTATTCAATCAAAACTCACCAATATAGTTTCTCTCATGTTAATTATAATGAAAAAATGAATTATCATTATTCCATTTGCCTTTATCAATGGCATTTGCTATGTGAGAAAAAGGGAGGGACATAACAGTATCAATACTGTTGTTTCTTAATTCTGCTTGATTTCAGGTATGGGTAATAGTCAACAGCCAATCACACAGAAAGGGTCATTATGAGCCACAGGGTATCACAGCCAGGCTCAGGTATACCTAGGAGGGAAAATGTCCTGTTTACCAAGATGGGGAAACAAAGTCAAGAGAATCCTACCTTTACCTTCTCAAGGTTGTTCTTTTGACTTTCCCAGAGACAGACACCCACAGTCCTCAGACTGCAGGAATACATGGCATTTCCTTTGAATGATGGACTAGTGGCCTTACGAGAAGACGTATCAGGCACTTATACCTGAAATCAAAACTTAGAATAGCAGCCAAGTCCCAAGTAACTTTTCTTCAAGCAGCAAGATTTCACTAATAACAGATTAGGGCTAAGTTATTGTTATTTTTCCTCATGTCTTAGTATCAGGACATTCTATTGGTCTTTCATATAAGAATAATTACATTATGGACTTTTATATACAGTGAACACCAGTTCACATATACAGTGAATAGCTGGTTCAAAAATGTAGCTTCACTACATACTAAATATTAACAAATACAATTTCATGATTTTCCAAATAATCCTAAATGATACATTTATTATTTAAAGGTCTTTTTTTAACATTAATGTTTATTGTAGAAATAGAAAGGTGTATTTTTTAATACATGACATTTGGTTTACATATAAAGTCTACATTTTTTTTATTATAGTTATTTTATTATGCCCCAAACAGAACTCTCTACATGATCAATGCATTTTATTCAGTACAGATATGGTACCCTTTCCAAAAAACTTTTTTATATAAGTTTGAGAAACTATGTATATTGTATACATTATTTCATAATCCAAAAGAAGTCTTTGCATTTTCAAAATAATAAAGCAAGGAATCTATTACAGTAAACAAATATTTTTAATAGTATGTTTGAATTTGAAATAGATATTAATTTAGAAATGGAATGTGAATTTTAAGATATCTAGATTGCTTTAACTTTGCTTCAACGTGTTTTTTAATTTATTATTTTGAAAATGCTAAGACTTCTTTTGGACTATTATTTAAAGTTTAACTTGCAAATTTTTCTACTTTGGCTAGGACAGGCCCTAGTTATTAAATTGTAGTACCACAGAGTTTCACAACACAGTCAGCAGTGGTGGTAAGACCTTATGAAGAAGTCTGAGTAGGCAAGGAACCTCACAGACAACAGGGATCTCTTAAGAAGTTATGGCTACTCTCTTCTCCTAACAGTGAGTTATTATTATTGTTTTCTGATATAAAACAAAATATACCCCATTAAACAATGGCTAGTTTTCAAACATATGGTAATATTATATTAGATACATTTATAATCTAGTAGCATTCAGATTAAAAGGGGAAGTAATTTGCCTTAACTTTTCTCAGCTTTCATAATACAAGGGAAAATTTCGAATACCCAACATCATGTATTTAAAACATGAAACTTTTTACTACTCAGATGACATAATCCAACAGAATGCATTTTTAAATTACCTCGAAAAGTAAGTCACTTATCCTATTTTTTTTGGTATTTTGCTAATCACATCCAATGACTCTAAAACCCTGTATAGAGATATCCAGTATGGCATAGTCAGTCAATTAAAGAAGTAACATTAGTTCATTTATACAGTGCTTACCACATTGCCAGGCTTTTTTGCTAATCCTTAAAGATTACTTTAAGGAATTTTAGAGGCTTGTTTTCTGTAGTACTTCAGAATGTTTAGATTTTGATTTCTCAGTTATTACTTGAGCCACTTGCAACCTTACATTACATGGCAGCTGTAAACAGTAAGACTGAAGTTTTTTCCCTTTAGGAGGCTAGTTTAGAGGAAAATATAACCCACTGAACATTTAATACTCTTTAAACAATCCAGTATAATTCATAAGATACAAAACTTATTTTGGCCAAAATGACAACAATTTAGTTGATTTCAAAGTAACCATTCACTGTTTTAGTTTTTACAACATAAGTTCTTCCACATGGTCAACGAAATATTATAACTTTACTCAAAAACAATTATAAAATTTAGATCACAGCTGTTGTTGGGGGGAGTGTCCTCAAACCTCATATTAAATCATAAGAATTCTACATTTTAGGCAAAAGGCACTTCACTTTATTATTACAATTTTTCAAAGACTTATCACATTCATTTTAATAACTCAATAAGGAAGTAGCCTCTGTAATAGTACTTCACAATAATTTTGAAAAATTTCACATAACAGTATGTAATCAAAAGCTTATTCTCCTAATTCAAGGGGAATTCACATTTCTAATCACATTCCTGATATTCTCCCAAAATCCACACTACAAGAAAGCCTAAAGAAAGCCTTTAGAAGCCTAAAGAATAGCATGGGTTTTTTGTTTTTTTAAACATAATGACAGCAAACTTCTCAAATGCCATCTATGCAGATATAGAAAATCTTAATTTATCCTTCTTAGAAAAACATTTATTTCCTTCAATATGTCACTTTAATCCAAAACCCAATAAAAATAATTAACATTTCTATAGTGCTCACTAAGCTAAACACTTTAGAATCATTTTTATTTCTCCCACAACTCTGGGAAGTGGGGGCTATTATTTATTATCCCTTTTTACATATATAGACGACTGATTAAATTTTCTAATATACCATAATTATAATGTAGTTTCAGAACAAAATATTGACAAGATCAAATCTAAATTTATAATTCCTAATAATAATGTTTAAATTTCAATGTTTCCAAGATCTTGCTACTTTCTGTTAGCTCATGTTCAAAAATTCATAATGGCACTCTCAGCTCCCTGTAACCACTTCTTTATTTCTTTAAATCATCAAAAAGCCAAATCAATTCTTTTTTTTTTTTTTTTCTAATTTAACTGTACTAGTACACTTTAAGGAGGCAGATACAGGGCACAGCCTCTCCTAGAGGCTTTTTGGTTGTAACCTTGGCAGGAAAAGCTACTTACTTTTTTTTTTTTTAAACAAAGGTCTTTACTGTAACTACTTAAGCCAGGCCAAAGAAACAATATTCTCTTTATCAGTCAGTTAGTTAATATATATTTGGTAAACTTCCCTTCAAAGTCTTAAGAAATTTCTTTTGTAATCTTACATCAAGTGGGGAAGAGAGGCATGCAGTACTTACCAAAGAGGAATTTCTCTAAAAATTCCTCAAATCTTTTTATTTCAGTGGCATCAAGACCCTCTTACTTTTTTCTACTTGCTTAACTCCTCTAGTCTTTATTTCCCAATCATATACAAGACTGTCTATAGACTTAATCTTCATTTTAGTGAACTTCTTTACTCTTTAATACAAGTTTTTTATTACAAAAAAAAATTAATCATAGTAATGTCACATTTTTAGGTTCTTAAAGGCTTACAAATACATAGTTCATTCCAATTTCTTTGAGGCCTTTTGAGCAATTACAATTGGTTACAGTTAAGAAGCTTTTATAAGTAATAGTCAAATAAACCCAAATACAACTCACTCAGCTCAGCTGCAAAGTTTAAGGTTCCTCATTGTATTTTCTCACAGTTTTTAGTAAGCAGATAACTTTGGAGTAGAAGTCACCTATCTCCTTCTCAAAGTTAACCTCTTTTATGCTAGAAAATCATTCATCCATCTTTTTCACAAAGAAGTTTACTTATCAATGACCAGGTGGATCAGCCAGAACCCAACTCCTTCAATTTATAGTCTACTGTATATGGTATAGTCTATTGTATAACAGCAGCTTTCATTTTGACACTGGTACTTAAATGTGTAAATATAAGCACTTTTTCTTTGACTGTGAAAGATCTTTGTTCCTAATTGCCTCCTCCTTTTACCAAGTTTGTAATATTTTCCAATACTGTAGGTTATTCCGTTATTGTAGGAGTTTTTAGGTTTGTCTCATGAAAAGAGGAGTTAATTTTCTAATGATTCTGAATTAAGAGAAATCTTTATCACACTAATTATTTAATTTTTGGATTTATTTATCAAATATAACTGTATAATTACTAATATTAACAATTTAAAATGCCAATTTTCACAAGGGCCATAAATGACTAGGATTTCAAATTTTCAGAATTTCAAAGCTCACTATCATCAATTAGCTTAAGCTTTAATTTTTAAAAACTACCTCAGATTGAAAGATGATAGTGAAATTACAACTATTGCAACACAATTGTGAATGTCACAATTGGTTCTAGTTAAAACAAATGTAGTAAAACAGATTATTATCCATTATGATCTATAATAAAATTTGCCTCATTGTCAAATGGTCAACAATGATTTGCATTAGAAAGATCCTTTGATTTGAATTATAACAATTTCTTGACTGAAAGTGTCAATTTTTATTAAAAACACTAACAGGAATATTTTTAGAGGTAACAGGAATTGCATCACTGGAAAAAAAACAATATCTGATGACAACTGCAATTTCTGAAGGACTCAAGATATAATTTTTTCTCTATTTCCTTTTAAATCACTGAAGCTTAAAAGTTAAGTCCATTTCTTTGGTTTTCTTACCCTAACTTATTATAGCCATAATAGGGGGGGGAAAACCCCATTAAATTTCACTTACTTTTCAATTGCTTCCTGATTTTAAAACAAGCTTTTCTCTCTCTAGGAGCACTCTGGGATAAACCTTCAGTCCAGGAGTCTGAATATTCGTATCTTAAGTTCGGTTGTTTAAGAGCAATAAGCAATGGAAGGGCAAATAAATTTCATCTTTACTTCCTTTTATTCTTTTGGCAACCGAACATGTTTTAAAATTTTTCCTATTCTTTTGGCAGCTCTTGGCTCTACCATCCTTGTACTTTTTATGCCACATCCTTTTACTTAAATGTTACTACTGATATTCTTTGGGGCTCTAACTCCTGTCCATTTCTGGCCTATATGTTAAGTGGTTCCTTTTTTCTTGTAATAATGCAGGCTCCTCTTTTCTAAATATGCCTGACATCTTTATATCAATTTAATTCTTGTCATTTTTCCTTGCTGTATAGCTATACAGGTTGGTCATACCTATCAACTAGGGAGAATTATCTTTCTCTGGTTCTCTTGCACAGTGCTTTTTAGTTTTCCTAATTTACCTCTTCTCTCCAGCTACTACTTGATGCCCTGGCATTCCTTCTGTACTATCTCTTCATTTCATTTACCAGGGAGCTTTCTTCTTATGGAACTTTCAACATGTGATCCAAAGTATCTTTTAGTTGTTTCACACATTTTAAAAGGTCAGTATTTTCTCAAAGAAGTCTTTGTGTTACAGAGTCTATTAACATTACTTTAAAAATTCAAATATTAGTAGTCATCTTTGATAAATTACATGAGTCAGAAGTTCAAATTTTCTACTATTCATTACTTGTTCTGTGTATTTTCTTCCAATTTTATTTTAAAAATTGCATATTTTATTTTGTCTAGTATTCTTAATGTTAGGCTTTTGAACTGTGGTCATTTAGTTCCTAATACAGTTCACTTTTAAGTATCACTTCTGCAATATTTCATAAAACGGGCTTCCTTGGGGGAAAAAAATTGGAGTTGACATGGCAATCAGTGTGCTTTGTAACATGGCCAACTTTCTTTCCCACAGATTTTACTTTTCTCATTATTTTTGTTCATCTTTAAAGTATAGCTAAGTTTACATGAAAGGTAACTAATCTTGGGAATGTTTATGTCACAAAGGTTAAGTAAAAAACTTGCTAGTTTTTGGAAAAGAACAACAACAAAACCAATAATTATCTTATTGTACAAATACAACTTTAAAAACCTTGTTTGTTTCTGTTTCTTGATACACATTGTTTGAAAAGGGATTTTTGTTTACTACAAAAAATGACAATTACAACTGATCAGAGGAGAGGCATCTTTTAGTTCTGGTTAAGATTTTGTTTCTAAGGGAATAAATAACTGAAGAAACACGTCTAGCATTGTCTTAGCAAAGTTTAATTTACACTTCCTGAAAGTTGCTATTTATCCTGTTATTTCTTAAATTCAAGTAACGTTACCAACTCCAAGTGACAAAAGTTTCTTAAAACATCCTTTTATCTTATCTGATTACATCCTCCATTGAAATCCTGCTCCTATGCCTCATTGTGGCATTGGGTCCACTGGGGACCCCGGGTTTTGTTGGCTATGCCAGCAGGACATAAACTCTGGCAGGCCTGCCAAGCTGGGGAGGCTTTAGCCAAAAGCCTGACACTGGACGATGCCCCTTGTCTGAGGAATGACCTAGACAAATACAGACAGGCTGATCACTGGAAGGGCTGGTCCCACGGCAACTGATGGAATGTGGAGAGATTGCAATTTGCAGAGGTGGAAGGAAGTGACCCTGCTGATGACATCTTAAAGCTTTCACATGATCTGATTCCAAGCATACTAGCCTCATCTTCTTTGCACTGTTCATTCTGCCCACCAAGTACTTTTGACTGAAAGAAGAAAAATCATTGCAGTCTTGAGCCTCACTGAAAACCTTACCCTCCTCTCAAGCACCTGCCTCTCTATCACATCTCAGGCATAGAACTGGCACTCTTCTCGAGCAAAGGAAATTTAGTTGATAATGCCTTTGATGACATTTCGGAGTTGTCATGGTGCTTTAGAATACTTAACTTTACATATGTGGTCAGTGAATTTTTTAGTTAAGAGGGTTTGCTTTTTTCACAGTGGTCAGTCAATCATCATCAGTCTTTTTCTCTTGCACTTAGGGGGCCTCAGAAGGCAGCTCCATCATTTTTCATTGATAGGTGGACACTGGATGGATTACCTTGATGCACTTTATATTTTTTAAAATGTTATTTTCTAGTTTGCCAACACTAAACCACACTAATTGTACCAATATTTTCCATAGACCTTTTCTATTAAAGGAACCTAAGAATGCTGATTTACGTAAACTACAGTTCCTTGAGAGACATTAGAGATCCATTTCAGAATTCCATTACCTTGTGATCTGAGCACCAAACTGGTGGCTGGTGATCATGGAATCATAATCCCATATCTGTAGTTGATGGACTATGGAGTATTTAGAATAATCCAATGTAAATGTAAAAATGAAATGGAAATGTCTGCCATAAGAAAATGTTTTCATTCTTAATCTACCATGTTACCCAGCCTCTCATTCTTCTCTATCATTCTTTGAAAACAAATAAACCCCTTCCAAACAAACAAAAAAATAAATAAATAAATAAAAATTTTCCTATTCTGCGTTCTAAAAAAAACAAACCACATTTCCATACAGTAATAAATTTATCATTCCCTTTCAGTACAGTTTTTAAGTATACCTTTTAAAGAATTTGTATTATACACTGAAGTCAAAACCAATTCTACGGGCGGCACCCAAAAACTTCAGAATCAGTGACTAGCCAAGTGAAACTGCTTTGGAAGTATTCTGCTGATCAAAAACTGGAAGTGATTGCTCTTGCTGAGTACTAAGACTTGAGCAGTCGATAGTAATCTAATCTCAATCTTTAATTTTCCAACACATTGCTTTAATGTTGAATAGCAAACTTATTTCATTTTAAGTTGTGAGTAATGGAATTTTTAAACTCACAGAAATTTTACTCTTAACTTTTCCTGTACCATTTTCCTAAGTTCTTCTTATCTTAACACTTCTCTGAACTTCACTGAATCCCTCTAACAGAGATCTACCAATTTTTGTTTTCATCAGATTTTACAAATTTTACAAAATACTCATAAAAACATTCAAGTCATCATTTAGAAATTTAGTAGAAATAACAAATTTAGTTGCTAATTAGTTTTTGTACCTGTGTTTCATCTCTGCAACTTCCAATGTGGCTGGCATTGAAAATATAGAGGAAAAGAGAGACTTGTCTTTTATTCTGAAGACTTTTGAAAGTTTCACCTTTTTAGAGTCATCTTCCCCTAGCTGATCAGACCAAGAGAAGAAGCTTGGTTGAGCTATCAGGAACACACAAACACTTGAAAACACTTGCTAGCACAGATCAACACAAGGCACGGATAAGACAGACACTTACACAAGTGGGCCCTTTACGCAACCGTGGGCATGTTAATTTGTTTTAGGTGAGGTTGTTCAATGGCCAATTCTTAATTTTTCTAATGTGAAAAGAAAGGAGAAATTACAGCTGACAGGCTGTCCTGCTTTTTGGCCAGTTGCCACTATAAAGATGAAACTGTTGGTGTTAGAAATTTTTCTTCAGTCCTCACGCTGTTCTTCAAGAATTTTGGTTTTTCTTTGAAATTTCTGCTAAAAAATCTAGTGCACACAATCAATTTTAAGACCCAAACAGAAACAGGATACTTTAGCAAAATGTTCCTCCCTAGTTTCCACTTAAGTGAAAACTAAGTTACTGCTAGACAAAAGAGCTGGTTAAAGCTCTGTTCCTCCAGACTTTTTGCTAACGTATAGCAACAGAAAAAACTGAGACTAATTAAAACTGAAACTTAAGGTATCTTTCACCTGAAAATGGCCTTCCAAAAGGGAATTAAATTATTCCCAGCACAATGGAGGGCTTACCTTTGCTCAGAGAAAATAAGCTTGAGGCCTAAAGGGGAGTCCAGTTTCCGGGACAGTCCTCTAAAAGTTCTTCTGAGAGAAAGTTGCAGGGTTGGAGGCCCTCACTCAGGTCCCATCTGGGGTCATCAACTGTCCTGATAAAAATCTGCAATGAAAAGAAACTAAGGCACGAAGTCTCCAAACATCATCAATTTATTTAGCAAAGCTAGTAGTTGCTAATAACTTGACATCCTGAGCCCCTCAAAGGCCAGGGATGACTTAGAGCAGACAGAGCAGTCTTTGATACAGCTGGTAAAGGGACAGGTGGGCTTATATTTACCCTGATTTACAGGAGGGGATTTCCAAGATTCCTGACAGTAGAGTTAATCAACATTCTCTGTGTTAAGCAACTCCAGTGTTAACTGTGTCCAGTGTAAAGCAACTCTTGACTTATGGCCAGGCAGGACACCTTATGACTCCAGAGATTCATCACCCATCTCCCAATCTAAATCTGGCACAAGAGTCCAAGCTGAAGCCCAGAAAAATAAGGAAGTTACTCTTATAAAAAAATTAAACCATCTTATAGATTCCAATGTTATATAGTCAAATTGTCTTTTAAATCAAATTAATTCCTAAGTACTTATTCCAGTGATTAGATACAGTTCTCAATCAATAATTAAAAAATAATATAGCAATTTCCTCCCCCTAATCAATAAACTCCAGTGACTCCCTATCATCTTCAGAATTAAAAGTAAAATTCTATTTGGCATTCAATGCCTTTCCCAACATCCCCCTACATCTTCCCAATCTTCTTACACTTTACTATGTCCCTCACCTCCCACTCCCATTAATCTGTAATCCAGTTATTCTGGTCTCCTTATGGTTTACCTTGTGGTTTACACTCTTATCTTCTGACTTAAAGTATTACCACAGTCTTTCCTTCTGGCTGGGAGTATTCGCCTTCCTTATCTCCATCTCCAGTTTCCTTCTATCCCAGCTAAAACTCCACTGTTTAATAAAAACACTAACAGGAATATTAATTAGGCTCTAATCCTAATTAATTAGATGTTCTAATTAGGAAGTCTTTCCCAATTTCCCCTTTATTTTGTGCCTTCTCTTTCTTGGTTATTTCTAATTTCATCCTCAATAGAACTTGTTTGTACTTGGAGGTTTGCATGTGGTCTCCCTCACTAGACTGAGGGCTCCTTAACAGCAGGGCCTTTCTTTTACCTTTTTTATATCACCTGTGCTTAAATGTCTGGCACACAGCAAGTACTTATTTATTAACTGACTGGTATTTCCACTACAAGATGCCACTCACATTGAGACAGATACTGGTCTAACCCTGCCAATAACATATATTCCCTACATAGAGTTCCTGCATAGTGTTAACAATCCACATCCTGCAACAGAGAGTAATCTAGAATAGGGATTTAAGGTTTCTTTAGATAGGCAATCAGTTTGGTGGAGAATTTTGGATGGCGTCAAGATGGCCTTCAAAATTTACTGGCATTGTGATTCAGCCTCTTAACCTCTCTGAGCCTTTTCTTCATATGTAGAATCGTAATAATATTTGTAGCACCTATCTTATGGAGTTGTATGATATAACGTTTTCATAACTTAAGTACTAATAGGAATTCAGTTTTTATTCTGGGTAGGAGAGTGAGGGTAGGGAGAGATTGGTCCCAGATAGCAGAATTAGGACCAATGAGGGTAAATTACAGCTAAGCAGATTTTGGTTCAGTCTAGCAAAGCAATTCCTACAAATTACAGCCATTGGGAAATGGTGTGGGTTGCCTTACTGAGCAGAGTTCTTTATCACTGGAAGTCTCCCTGCAAGGCTGGAACATCTGTATTGTTGGAAAGGGCATTCAGGGAAGGGCTGCAGGAGCAGATATCTGAGGTTCCTTCACCAGGGAAATGGCATGTGAAATGACAGCACAACCTAAGAGGATTGTATCCTCCATGCTAAGGATGTCTGCAAACCGTGCCTAAAACAATGAGGGTTGGGGAGAGAACAACAAAAAAAAAATGTTTGGGGAAATGTGTAATGCTGCGTTTTTAGGCGTTAAAGCAAAACAAAATAAAAACACCTTCCTCTGGGTTTAAGATTAGAATGCTTCTTTTGAGGACGTCTATTCTCTTCCTGGATAAATAACCTTAAAATAACCGTGCGGTGAACTTACTTAGGGTACACATCCAAATGTAAAGACATGATCTGTGTGAATCTACTTGCCCTTCGCCTGGTTTTCCTAAAGCTGCGAGGGAGAAGCGACTGCAGCGCAATCCTAACACGTTTCTAAAGGTTGGGCTGCCCCATGACCGCTCAAACAGCCCAAAGTCTTCCCAGGAGAAAGGGAACGAAGACGTCGGCACTCAGAGGCCCCGCCCGGCGCGCTTCGTTATGCGCCCCTTACGTCATGGCGCTCCACAATCCCGGAAGTTCCCTCCTGTCGGCGATGGCGATGGTTGGAGAGCAGTGGGTGTTGGTGGAGATGGTTCAGGCATTGTATGAGGTGAGCCCCTCTGAGTCCGACACCCCTGCAGATGCTGCCAGGAGGTATACGTGGATCTTGGGCAAAAAAAAAAGGAAGGCGCGAGAAACGTTACTTCTGCCCACCCAGCCCTTTTCCGGCTCTTTGAACTGTGTCTTTGCATGCGGCCCGAGGCGGAGGGTCTTAGCAAACTGACAAGGAAACTAACCAATGAGCGAGGTTGGCAGCCGAGTCGGACGTCTTTCAGCCAGTTAGGGTGTAGTGAAGGCGGGGGCAGGGGGGAAGAAGAGTGTGTGGATCTTAAGGGAATTGAGGTAGAGGGGTGGTCTGGAAAGCAGTTCGATCCGACGAGCATTATTATTTATTAACTGCTTGCCTGGTGCAGAGGTACTATGCTAGGCATTCAAGATTCGAAGACAAAAAAAAAAATTCTTACCCGAGGAAGAAATTAAGGATTCAGGGGGTGAGATCTAGTAAAAGCTAGATTTGGAAGATATCTGAGGGGATGTAACCAGTGATAAAATGGAAAAGGAAAGATTAGCCGGATGTGGGGGAGGTAGGATAACTAGGAAATGGGTTTGAGGGTAAAGAGGATCTTTAGAAGTGGAGCCAAAATTGGAAGAGAATGATGGTATGAACGGGAATTTCTTTTTTGGAGACATAAAAAAGCAGGATAATTTGGGATTTTGAAATAAAGAAGACGAGGCTTTATTTTTTAGAAAGTGGAAAAAATAAACTTTTATGTTTTTGTTTTTTAAACTAGAAAAATATGGAAGAATATTGAAAACTAGTTAACTGATTCTAAGATTGTACTTTAGTTTTATGAATTTTTGTTTTACGTTTGAAAGAAAATTCTTCTGCCTGTTGGGAAAAATAGGTGGCATTTTATCTAGTCTCTTGCAAAACAAGCCATGAATGTGACCTCCCTCTTACTTTAGTGGTGGCCTACATTAATTTAATAAGTAATTTTAGATGGATTGATATGTATGTATATGTCAATAGTAAGAATATAATGAACTGCAATTTAGAGAAAATAATTAAGTTTCTCCACTATTTGTTCTTTGATCACTTTCATTAAAGGTTTGGCTTGACAATATATCTCCTATGATCTTTGGTCTGGGTGAAAGAAATTGGTAGAGAGAATGTAATTTCCCTGAGGGTGGAAGAGTGTTTGATGTCTGGTTCTAGATCCAGATTGTTTTATTGGGCTTGTTGCTTGCCTCATTTTTCTTTGGGTTGGGATTCGCGCTAATTTTCAGAAATCTGCCAGCTCGAAATCATAGTTTGGGAATTCTAAAGTTGTTGAGTAATTTTAATAGCCCTCAGTAGGTAGCTGTGTCCTATTCCCCAAAGTGAATCATGTTGTAGCAGACCAATTTACAGAGCAGCTTAGGGAGAGGGTTTTTTTTTTTTCCCTTTCCAGTCTAGTGTATTACTTACATGAACTTGGCATGTAAAATGAAAATTTTGACTTTACTTTTAAAGGAAGTTTAGTATATAAAGCATAGTATGTGAGCAGAAGAAATAGAGGTTCTCTTCTCTTTCTCTACACTCTAATTTTTTTTTTGTTTCTCTTATTTTTTTTTCTAAATTACTACACACTCATATGATGATCTAATCAGTTTCCATAGGTTTAATTTTCTTTATGTAGATGACTCCCAGATCTATATATCTAGCCTTAGTTTCTGTTCTACAAACTACCTATTAGACATATAAATCAACAAGTATTTATTAAGTACCTACTGTGAATCAAACCTTAGGCGCTGGAGACACAAGTACAAAGAAAGAAACAATTACTATTCTAAGTGACCTATTCTAATGGAGGAGACAAGTACACATAAAAACATACAGCATAACCATGAAATTAATAAATACTAATAATATTTACAAAATAGCTAAGTACAAGGTATTTTGGGAGGAAGGGTGGATTGGGAAATATTTTATGCAAATGATGCTTAGAAAGTAGTGACTCCATGAGCTGGAAATAAAGGAGTGGGGGGACATCTGGAGCAAAGGCCCATCCCATTGTAGAGAGATGGGTTGTTGTGTGTAAGGAAAAGAGAGAAGGCCAATTTGGTTGGATTGCTGAGTGTGAGAGGAAGGAGAAACCAGTGCAGCTAAAAAGAAGCTAGGGTCAGGTTGTATAGGGCTTTAAAAGCTGAACAGGACTTTATAAAATTTGACCCTACAGGAGATTGAAAGCCACTGGCCTTGGTTAAGTAAGTAATCAGTGATCAGATTTGAGCTTAAGGAACATTGCATTGGCAGCAGTGTGTATGATAGATTGGAATAATGAGATACCTGAGGAGGGAAACCCAAGTAGGAGGTTGTTGGAGTAATCTAGGTAAGGCGTAATAAAGACCCTAAAATAAAGTGATAACTGTGTGACTAGAAAGAAGGTCAGAATGTAAGATGCTGTGAAGGTGGAAATGGTGATATTTGGCAACTCATTGAAATAAGTAAAGTGAGGGAGAATGAGGAGTCCAAGATAATGTTGAGATTACAACCTAAGATGGAAGGATTCTAATACACTTGATGGAAATAGGGAAGTTTGGAAGAGTGGAGGGTTTAAGATGAAAAATTTCACTTTTAGACATATTGAATTTAAGATGTCTCTTTAGGCATCTCAAAGTTTGACATGCCTAAAATAGTACAAAATAGTAAAAATAGTATTTTCCCTACAAACTCTTCTTTCCTCATCTGAGGATACCGTCATCCTTCTAGTCACTAAGGTTAACTCCTCCAACTCCTGTACATCCTAATCATTGACACAACCATAACTTAACTTCAGGCCCTTAGTACCTTTTGCCTAGACTATTGGATAGCCTTCGTATTGATCTCAACCTACTCCATTTCATACAGCTGCCAAAATGCTTTTCTAACTCCTACTCCAGTGACTCCCTTTGCCGTTAGAAGCAAATATGAATTTCACTGTTATTGAGAAACCTTTACAACAAGGCCCCATTGGTCTCTTTCCAACTTTATTACACATTCATTACTCCCTAAATGCAATGTTACCATTGCCTATAACTCCATTTCATGTCCTTGCTGTATTTTATATATAATGCTTTCGTACTTGAAAGTTCTTGATGTTGATACGGATCGTGATTCATGTCTTTTCATGCAGTACAATTAAGGTCTTTGTACATCAACAAAAAGATTGTGGAGACTTAGGACAGTGGTTTTTTGTCTTTGACTTGACAACTTTCCTGAATAGCCATAACTTTCTCTTTTGGATAATCTTTTTGCCAGAGAAAAGTGTTCTATTTATGCTTTGCTCTAAAAGAATTGGGGACCAGGGTGGTAGAGCATTACCACTAGTTCAGGGAAACAGAATTGAAAAATATAGGAAGTAAATGGAAATTTCTAATGAAAATAACCAGGGAAATGGTTCCAGCATCAGGGAGATGTCTCTAAAATAATCTCTTTTCCCTCCTTTTGTGGGTCTTAAAATTGAGAAGTCTTGAGATCCCAAATTGAAGTGTTTAGAGTTTGTAGTATCATAGATCTAAACCTGGAAGGAACCTTAGAGGTTGTCTTGTTCAACCTCCTTATTTTGCAGATTTTACTTACAAATGAATAAAATTAAGGAAACACACAAATTAATGAAAATCATTAGTACAGCTGAGAATAATAAATTTCATTTTATTTTAGAAATTAATGTAGTTACAGTTTTGTTGTTTGGACTTGCAGGCTCCTGCCTACCACCTTATTTTGGAAGGAATTCTAATTCTCTGGATAATCAGACTTCTTTTCTCCAAAACATACAAGTTACAGGAACGATCTGACCTCACAGCCAAGGTAAGAGATTAAAAATATTTTTCAATTTTTGTTGAATGTCTTAAATTACTATTTAATGTAAAGCAGGATTATAATGGATGAAATGTAATATACAAGGCATTTTGAATAATCAGTTAGCTCTTAGAATTAAATGAATCTTGATCTGTCTCTGGAATATAATTTAAATGTACAATTGCAGCATAGTATACAATTATAATATCTCTTATGATGATTATGAATTGAATTTATGGGAAATCTTATGATTCCTGTTAAATAGCTTCCTCCAGAAAGGAAGTGTTGAATTGTTGAAGATCTAGCACTTTTAAGTTTGCTGCTTATTCTGTAACTTGACACTGAAATTTTTTTAGTAATAAGTAGTCAATAAATTATGTTCTTAAGCATGAAAACTTGGTTTTCTCAATTTTTTTGTAGTCCTTATTTAGTGATAGCCATAAGTTAGTAGTCATTTGACTACAAAGAAGTTTTCAAACTGCAGTCTTTTTTTACAGTAGTGAAAGGAAAATAAAAACATATAGTGCTTTGTAACTGTTTTTCCTTCCATTGAATTGGAATTACTGATTTTAATCTAAATTCTGTATAATTTGGGGACTAGTTATGCCAGTGGTTTGACTTGCTTCCTATTTCTAGTTCACAGCTATAATCAAAACATTTTTCCTAAAACTAGATTTGATTTCAGACATTGGTAATGGTTATCAAATATTTTTGGGGGTAAATGATGTATCTACTTATTATGTAGATTAAGTTATTGTCTAATTATATAAATACTTCACCGTTTGAAGTTAGTCTAGTCAGATGAAAGGTTTTACCTTGGGGCAAAAATTATTAAATACTAAATCTTAATATATTTTTGTCTTACATACATTCATAACAAATTTCAATATTTTTTTTCTTGAACATATTTAGTATTTTATTTTCTCCCAATTACATGTAAAAACAATTTTTAACATTTGTTTTTAAAACTATGAGTCCAAATTCTGTCCCTTCCTCCTTCCCCACCTCCTTACCCAAGAAGGCAAACAATTTGATATAGATTATGCATGTATAGTCATGCAAAACATTTCCATTAATAGTCATGTTATAAAAGAAAACATAGACCAAAGAAAAAAAAACCTTCAAGAAAAATAAAGAAAGTTAAAAAATTGTGCTTCGATCTGTATTCAGACACAGTTCTTTCTCAGGAGATGAATGGCATTTTTTCATCATAAGTCCTTCAGAGTTGGCTTAGATCATTATGTTGCTGAGAATAGCAAAGTTATTCACAGCTGATCATCTTACAATATTGCTGTTACTTTGTACATAGTACATTTCACTCTGCATCAGCTCATGTAATTCTTTGCGGGTTTTTCTGAGAGCATCCTGCTCATCATTTCTTATAGCACACAGTAGTATTCCATTATAATCACATACCGAAATTTGTTCAGCCATTTCCCAGTTGATGGTTATCCCCTCAATTTCTAATTCTTTGCCAGTAGGAAAGAGATGCTGTAAGTATTTTTGTACACAGAGGTCCTTTTCCATTTTTTTTTTATCTCTTTTGAGTTAAAGACCTAGTAGTAGTATTACTAGATCAAAGGATATGCATGGTTTTATAGTCCTTTGGTCATAGTTTCAAATTGCTCTCCAGAATTATTGAATCAGTTCACACGTCCACCAACAGTGCATTAATGTCTCATTTTTCCCACATCCCTGCTAACATTTGTCATTTTCCTTTCCTGTCCTGTTAGCCAGTCTAATAGGTCTGAGATAGTACCTCAGAATTGCTTTAATTTGCATTTCTCCAATCAATAGTGAGTTATAGCCTTTTTTCATATGGCTATACATAGCTTTGATTACTTCATCTGTAAACTGTTCATATCTTTTGATCATTTCTCAGTTGGAGAATGGCTCTTATTTTTATAATTTTAACTAAGCACTCTATAGAAATGAGGCCTTTATCAGAGAAACTTGCTTTAAATTTTCTTTACAATTAGTATTGCTAACTGTATTTTGCTCTATTATATCTCCCCCTACACCATTTATTCTGTTCTCTCTCTCCTGTCACCCTCACCTTCCTCAAAAGTGTTTTGCTTCTAACCATTGCCTCCTCCAATATGCCCTCCCTTTTATCACCACCACCCTATAACTCTTATCTACTTCCCTTCCTACTTTCCTGTAGGATAAGGTAGATTTCTATACCCAATTGGGTGTGTATGTTATTCCCTCTTTGAGCCAGTTATAATGAGAGTAAGTTTCATTCACACTCCCTCACATCCACCACTTTCCCCTCCACTGTAAAATCTTTTTCTTGCCTCTTTTATGTCACATAATTTAGCCCATTCTACCTCTCCTTTTCCTTTTCTCACAGGACATTCCCCTCTCCTTAATTTTATTTTTTTTTTTAGATATCATCCCTTCATATTCAATTCACACCTGTGTCCACTGTCTATATCTACTCCTTCTAATAATGGAGAAAATTCTTACATGTACATTCCTATTTAGACATTTTTAATTCTATTGTAAAGAAGAATTAGAACCAATAGGAAGAACCACAAGAGAGTGGAAACAAAACAAAACAGAAGAAAAAAAAGAGCAAATAGTATGCTTCAATCTGCATTCAAACTCCATAGTTCTTTCTTTGGATGTGGATAGCATTTTCCATCATGAGACTTTGAAGATGTCTTAGATCCTTGCATTGCTGAGAAGGGCTAAGTCTATCAGTTAGTCATCACACAGAGTGACTGTTGCTATGTACAGTGTTCTCCTGCTACTGCTCATTTCACTCAGTATCAGTCCACACAAGTCTTTCCAGGTTTTTCTGAAGTCCACTTGCTCATCATTTCTTATAGCACAGTAGTACTCCATTACATTCATATACCACAACTTGTTCAACCATTCCCCAATTGATGAGCATCCCCTCAATTTCCAATTATTTGCCATAAGGTGTTATTTTCTTCAGTATTTTTTATGTCTCCTTTACCAACCTGTTGACTCGTTTTTTATGATTTTCTTGCATCACTCTCATTTCTCGTCCCAATTTTTCCTCTACTTCACTTACTTGATTTTTAAAATCCTTTTTGAACTCTCCCATGGCCTGAGACCAATTCATATTTTTCATGGAGGTTTTGGATGTAGGAGCTTTGACTTTGTTATCTTCTAATGAATGTGTATTTTGATCTTTTTTGTCACCATAATAACTTTGAATGGTCAGAATTTTTTTCTGTTGTTTGCTCATTTTCTTTTGACTTTTAAATCTTTGTTAAAGTGGGACTTTGCTTCCAGGGTGGAGGGTGCACTGTCCCAAGCTTCAGAGGTTTTGTACAGCTGTTTTCAGAAATACTTCTAGGAACCTATAAGTTTTCCAGTTCTTTCAAGGTGGTATGATTTCAGGAGAGATATTGACTACTCTCCTGGCCTGTACTCTGTTCTGTGCATGACCACAAGCACTCTTTTCTGCCCTGGAACTGTAACCACAAGTGGCTCCACAGTGGCCGCAAGTTCTGGTTTCCTAGTGTTCCTCCCTGCCAAGGGATTGCCACCCAGCACCATGACCTGGATCTGAGAACGGGCAAAGCAACAGAGTCCTGCCTCAGTACTTGCAAAGAGACCGCTGTAATCTCCTGACTAGTTATTCAACCCCTTACTGTCTGTGGGCTAAGAGTTCCAGAAGCGGCAGCTGCTGCTGCTGCTGCTTCAGTGACTCACGATGCCTGTTCGTGGTTTGCTGGGGCTGGGTCTATGCTGGTGCGGACTGTTCTCCACTCTCACCCAGGTGCCAACAGACCTTCCCTGCTGATCTTCTAAGTTGTCTTTGGCTGGAAAATTATTTCGTCCTGTCCTTTTGTGGGTTCTGCTGCTCTAGGAATTGTTTTATGGCATAATTTAAAGGTGTTCAGAGGAGTTTGGGGAGAGCACAGGCAAGTTGCTGCCTTTTCTTTGCCATCTTGGCTGCACCCCCCAATACTTTTTTAAAAGATGAAATTAATACCAAAATGCATTGTGCATTTTTTGCTATATGTCTGACTCTTCATTTCTCTCTGGCATTGAGGTTAGACAGCACAATTTCTAATATTTGAGAACAGTAAATGAAACTATCATTATGTGTATACAGGAAATAAATAAAAGCTGTACCTGAATAGTAGCTTTCAGGAGAGATTTGATTGTCTGTTCCCAAGATCAGAGGTACAAATATAACAGCTAACCCTGAGCCTGAAAAGGGGACTTGCAAGAGGAAGTTAGAAATCCTAACTGGCACACATCTTCTCCCATAATTATTTTTTTATTTTATTTGAGAAAGTGGTGAGACTTTCTTCTACAGTAAAAGTTTGTGTCAGTTTTCCTTTTTACAGTGAAATTAATTTTTAAAACTAAAAACATTTCCACTACAGTGACTTCCAAACAGACATTTAAATGTTTTCTTCTTATTGCATGAACAAAATAATATTAAAAAGATGCTGATCAGGAGCCTTTAAATTTCTCCTGTGCCCCTTTTTCAAACTCAGGCAAAGTTGTTACCACGTAACTCGATGAGTTGAGGACTGTATCACTGGGTTTGTGATCTTATTAATACCATGATGCTGATCTAATTTGATCCAATTTTCACCAGAAGAAGGTGAACCCAGGATGTGTTTGTGGTGTTGGTGGCTTTTTATCATGAGGAATTTTCCCCATCACCTCAGGGAGATGTGAGATTAAACTGTGGGCACTTAGAGACTCGAAACTAAATGTGAATGTGCTTTTTGTCTTTAAGAACTGTGTCCTGAAGATGTTAAATGTGGTAAGCCTTAGTTTGTTGAATTTGTATAATTCTTGTATGTAGTATTTAGTGATGATAGTAGTCTCTGGGCTCACTGGATGTGGTAGGGGCCTGCCCTGTGCCATTTAGAAACTTTAATCTTGGGATTTTCTGAAAACTGCATTGAATGAACTTCTCGGAACTTTTTATATGGCATTTGGGAAGCCATTGAGAATTACCAATTGTATTTTATTGGAACTCTTTGGTACAAGGAACTGGGGGACGCATT